ACTGACCAATAAGAGGCGAGCACTCGGCTGGCGCGAGGCGGCCGAGCCAATCAGCGGAACCGGGCGGCCGCGCGCTCGTTGGCTGAGCCGCCTCGCGCCGCTCGAGCTCGCTTCTCATTGGTCAGCGTTTTTCGTTAATAACTCGTAAACGATGCCTCGGGGAAAGTTTTTGCAAAGGAAAAAGTTGCTTGAAATGACCTCAGGAACCCCATATTTCCCATAAGTACCATAATCTTGGGACTCCCTATATATATAGATAATTATATTTACCAAAAAAGAGCGCCGATTGGGAAATCGGTTTCAATACTGGCGTAAGACGGTCATATCAGTGCAATAAATTCTGTCCAATTGCGAGGCTCCGAATAATCGTATCTTCTATTTCCAAATCGTCCATTTCACCGAATTACGTCCATGCCAGTGTAAACTACAGTAATTTAATTACAGCAATTTCTCCCAAATTCGCGTTCAGATCGATCAAAATCGCATGACGAAAACCTGCGATTCTCGGCATCGTTTAATTCGTTGCAACAACGTCGACCGATTTCGATCAAATATTCCGATTTCCGTTGCTCCGTTTCGCGTTCCGTTTCCGAAACCTCGAAACTTCCGCGTCGTCCTCGCTGGTGTATTAACGATATCGTCGTATTAATTGTCAGCAGGCGGTACGTCAGCAGGCAGGGACGTCCATGTAACTCGGTCGGCCGCTTCAAAAATCAGGAAACAGCCTGGACACGTCTCTCCTCTCTCTCTCGCTCTCTCTCTCCGCGTTCCACGGATATCACGGATCCCACCGGAGCACCGCTGTCGCTGCTCCCACTCCGGCCGGCTCGAAGTCACACACGCAGGCACACACAGGCACGCGACGCCCACGCCGCGACGCGGCGGTAGGCGTGGCTACCTTGTCATTTGTTTCCTCTACTTTTGCCGAGGCGTTAGGGGATCCCGGGGATGGCGGTCTGTTCCTTGCTTGACGTATGTACTGTCGCTACAGCCTCCTTCCCCCGACGGCCCGCAGCGCGCTCTCGCTTCCTCCTCGCTCTGGCGACGCGTTCCAACCGTCTTCCCTACGGCGAGGCTCTTCATCGCCGACCGGGCCACCGCTCCTCTCTCTCTCTGCCTCTTCCGAGGATGCCCTCTTCCTTGAACACCGTCTCCAAGGGCTTCCCTACGTTTCTCTTTTTCCCCCCTTTCGAGCACGGAATGATCCGGTTTGTCATTCGCCGCGTTTATCTTTCCTTCGTGTGCCCTACGGGCCCGCGTTCTCCCCTCCCCACCCCTCCCCGCCCCGCCGCATCGCACTCTTGCCGCCGCGATTCCCGCTTTCCGCTCGGCCGTCGCGAGCGTTGATGAACTTCAACGCGTCGCCACACGGTGTAGCCGATGCACACGCGCCCTCCTCTCGCTCTTCCGACACCTACGTTTCCCGTTCTCGTTGTCCTTATCTGTTTAACTCTTTACGCTCGAATGGCGACGCCGTGATAGGCTAGTGCTGCCGTGGATAGTGCTAGTGTCGATTGGTGTAAGTAGCTTGAAGACGGACAGACAATAGTCGGGCGAATGTTTCTTTTTTTTTCGGTTCTGGCGAATTAGCGCGTTGTACGATCGCGTTCTAGTCACGTAGTGTTGCGGTACGGAGCAGTTATTTAATAATAATATGTATTGTATTGTATATATTATAATAATGTTGTCGTAATAATATTGTATATATTGTAATAATGTAATTATAATAATATTGTAATAGTAATAATATTATTACAATAATATTGTAACAGTAATAATATTATTACAATAATATTGTAACAGTAATAATATTATTACAATAATATTGTAACAGTAATAATATTATTACAATAATATTGTAACAGTAATAATATTATTACAATAATATTGTAACAGTAATAATATTATTACAATAATATTGTAACAGTAATAATATTATTACAATAATATTGTAACAGTAATAATATTATTACAATAATATTGTAACAGTAATAATATTATTACAATAATATTGTAACAGTAATAATATTATTACAATAATATTGTAACAGTAATAATATTATTACAATAATATTGTAACAGTAATAATATTATTACAATAATATTGTAACAGTAATAATATTATTACAATAATATTGTAACAGTAATAATATTATTACAATAATATTGTAACAGTAATAATATTATTACAATAATATTGTAACAGTAATAATATTATTACAATAATATTGTAACAGTAATAATATTATTACAATAATATTGTAACAGTAATAATATTATTACAATAATATTGTAACAGTAATAATATTATTACAATAATATTGTAACAGTAATAATATTATTACAATAATATTGTAACAGTAATAATATTATTACAATAATATTGTAACAGTAATAATATTATTACAATAATATTGTAACAGTAATAATATTATTACAATAATATTGTAACAGTAATAATATTATTACAATAATATTGTAACAGTAATAATATTATTACAATAATATTGTAACAGTAATAATATTATTACAATAATATTGTAACAGTAATAATATTATTACAATAATATTGTAACAGTAATAATATTATTACAATAATATTGTAATAATAATAATATTATTACAAAAATATTGTAACAGTAATATTGTAACAGCATTAATATTATTGTAATAATATTGTAATAGTAATAAAATTATTATAATAATATTGTAATAGTAATAATAATACGTAGTATCGCGCGATTGAATTCTCTTTACATCGGAAGCAAAATTGTTTTCTATCTTGAGAATTCTTGCGTTGAATATTTTTCCTTGAATATTTCGCCCGAATTATTGTTGTCAGTGGCCAATTTCAATCTGCATTATCTTCTTATTATATTATTATATTATATTACTATATTATTATATTTCTTCTTATTATATTATTGTATTATATTATTATATTATTATTATTATTATTATTATTATTATATTTCTGCATTATCAATCTCGTCTTTAATACATTGCTAAAATATTTCACCACTCGCAATTTCATATGCATAAAATGCAATAAATGATACAACATTAACGTATTCTAGGCTGAAAAAAACGTCTCGGTTCTCGAGTCAAAATAACACCTAGCTAAAAGGGTTAAACTTGCAAACTCAGAAGTGAAAGCAGCTTCGAGCGCAAAGCGTGAAATAACAATAAAAAAAAATTCGCGAAACCATCGTAAATATAAAAATCGCTGATATCGTCCGCGCCATAGCGAACGCATCGATTTACTATGCGCGAATTTGCGCGGCGTGTTATAAAATTTACGATTCGAGAATTTTTCGACGATTTTTGAAGGACAATTGCTTGAACATTTCTTGGATACAAAATAGAACAGCACAGTTAACGAAGTTCCAAAATTCGATACTAATCGATTCGAAATCGAAATCTGTCTGGTTTATGCGCGGCACATAATTCATCGGTCGAGACGCGGCGCAATGTCATCGAAAGGCGATAAGGCGGGCAGATAAAATACCGATTAGAAATTGTCGAATGAATATTCGACACATGGAATTTTTTTCGATCTGATTACCATGACGATCGCCGCCTCCGATAATCGGCGAGGGCGAAGAAAAGAAGGCGTTTATCGGTGCGCGCGCGCGCTCTCCAATATACTCGCGAAATAATCTGCAGCGAATGGAAAAAAAAGAAAGAAAAGAAGAAAAAAATAAAATCCGTCGATAATGGTCGAGTGCCGATTTTTCTTCGTAAAAAAAAAGATTCAATTACGATGAAAATGATACGGATAAAGATCTAACCGTATCATCATCCGCGGGAGGAGCGCATTGGCGCAGCAATTACGCGGAGCAGCGCGGGGCAGACGATTCGATAGCGCGGCGAGAAGACCCCATTTTGACAAGCGGTACGTAACACGCGACGACACACCTCTCGGTCAATTCGAAACGCCCAGCACAGGAGTGCTCTAGTCCGCCAAGATAGATGTTTGCTCCGATAGATAAGACAAGCGATAACATTATGCACTCTACTCGACTCGATATCTCGAGAGAGAATCTTCTAGCCGGTACAGAAAAATTTGTCCGACGAATGGCGGTGCCGATTCGCGAATCTGTCCGCCACGGAACGATCTCGTTGAACCGGCCGTCGAAAATGGCGTTCGCCGAACAAAGAAGTCACTGTGTGGTTCGACGTTCGAGTGCCGAACCGAAGGGGTTGCGCGTCTATTTGCGTTCTCCCGACGGGGCGGGACGACGCGTTAAAGATTAAGCCCGCGCGGCGAGGAACCAAGACAAACGTCGCGGAGAAGAAACAAACAATAATCAGAAGGTAGACGGAGTATGGAAAAGAGAGTATGGAAAGGAAAAGGGAGAAATATACTGGTGGAGAGCGAGAGAGAGAGGGTGCGTGGTGTGCGTGCGTTTCGTTCGAGTCTCTTCGCTTCGCTGTGTACGTAGGAGGGGCGAGGACGTTGGCGGGGTAACAGGCGAGCGTGGTGGGGATGGTGGAAGTGAGGCGCGTCGACGAGGTTAGCGAGCGCAGGCGAATCGGCGGCTGGTTCGCGCGCGCTGCGGCGGGACGAGAAGAGAAGAAGCGGCGGTGCGAGAGATCACGCGGTTGCGCGAGAGAGACAGCGCCGCCGGTCGGCTGGTACGGGTCGAACCTGTCGGAGAGGGAGGGGAGGAAGCGATCGGGGGACGAAGCGAGGAGATACATGCGTGAGAGATCGCGCGTCGGTGGTCCGCGAGCGCGCGAGGGGAACGCAGCGGCACGAAAATCTAGAGAGGAAGACGCCGGGACGTTGAACAGAGTCGGAGCGAAAACTGGAGCGGAAGAGTGGGGGAGCGAGCGGGCGCGCGCGGGAAGAAAGAGGACGGCGCGCGGTGGCACACGGAACGAGGAAGGGAGCGCGAGGACGTGAGAAATCGCGCGGCGCAGGAAGGGGGAGCGTAGGAAGGGGGAGCGTAGGTCCGAGCGAGATAACGGGAGGCAGAGTGGGAGTAGCGGAAGAGAGAAGGAGCGGATGGTGGGGAGTAAGAGCGAGCGAGCCAGGGAGAGAGGCGCAGTCAGACAGTCAGGCAGGCCGCCCGGCAAGCAAGGAAGGCAGGCAGGCAGGATAGCAGGCAGCCAGTGCACCAGCCAAGACCACTAGATCCGCTCGGCTTACCGACTTAGAGACTTAAGCCGGCAGGCAGTCCGAAAGGCTCAACCGGCTAAGCCTGGCGGACCCACCTACTACCGACGCGCGGCCACTACACGTTCCATCTACTACGAAAACCGACTATACTACCGCGACCTGCGGCACCACTCGCGCTTTCTTACGTTTCCTCTGTCTGTCCCTCTTTCTCTATCGCTTCTCCGTTGTTCCTTAACGTCCGCGTGCTCGCGAAGGTAAGAAGAGCGAGCGACGACGAACGCACCGTCGTCGTCGTCGTCGTCGTCAAGCATCGACGGTGTCCGTGGTGTCGGGGCCGGTCCTCGTGGTGACTTTTCACGGTGGGATACTGCTACCGGTCTTGTGCCGCGACGCTGCCTGGATAAGTAGTCGTCTACCGGTGACGTTCGCGAACGATCGCCGCGTCCCAGTGACCAATATACGTACTCCGTCGGAAAGTGTCGGCCGGTTTGTTCCGGGCTCTCGGGTGTCTTCGGGTGGCGCGTACGTTCGGTGGTGATTTAACGCAAGTGTATATTGTTCCGGCGGCCGAAACGAAACACGAAGTGCGGTGCCGCGCGGGATCTTCTGTGGAAATCGTTGAAAATCGTTCGCCGTGGACTTGACGTGGGGATACAACATTTCCTGTGCACCGGAATGCGACGCTGAATTCTGCTGCGTCGATCAACGTCCCCCTCCTCCTCCTCCTCCTCCTCCGTCAGTTGGAAGAATGCTCTGTGATTATTGACACTGAGATTGCCAAGACATTGCTCGGCTCGATCGGAGCGAGAAAATCGGATCTTGAAAAAAGAATTGTGCGAAACACGTCGAACTCGGTTACACAGTGCGGCACCGTTTAACCTACTTTCCGTCGCGGGTGTCTCAAAGTCTCCCACTATTCCCGTCGCGTCTCTCGATCCTTACGTAACGCGTCGCGGGCCGTCGCGGGCCGTCGCGGTTATCTGATTTCTTAGTTTGCTTGTATCCGAGAGAGCGCTGGTGCACACGTGCGTCGCGCCGAGTCCTTCGGAGAGGAGCGGAATCGGGACGGGAATCAGGGTGAAAAAAAAGCGCAACTAAAATCAATAAACCGATCCATGGAAACAGTTGCCGCAGGACGACGAATCCTTAGCGCGTGCACGTCGAAGATCCGCGTGAAATCGTTCGCTGAACAACAAGATAAATCGACGCGCAGCAGCGACGGTGAACGTCGGATCGGAGAGCTAACCTTTTGACGAGTTGCCCATCAAGATAGCACTGATGTCAACGGAACCTGTGACGAGTGAACGCAACGGACAGACAGAGGAGTCTACCTTCGAGTCGCGATCGGTCGAGTCGCCGGCGGAACACGCTCGGGCCGAGCGGATTCGTTGAGAAGGCCGCCCGCGTTCTCATCCATGTAACCCGTGCGCAGCGTTCATCGCCGACGGCCGTCGCCAAGTGTAAAGTGTCCCCGTCTTACCGAGCAGCCGTCGTTTTCGGACGTCGTCGCGACTGCGATCCGGTGTGAACGAAAAGCCGCCTTTAAAGCGTCCGCCTTCTCGTTCGTTCATCTTGACTCTCGACGCGAACGCGAAGGGAGCTTGGATCCTGCGTCGCGCGTTCCGCAGATCAGTCAACACGACGTTAACCTTCTATAGCATGGAGCGGGGCGGCGGGGGCGGGGGCAGCCTCGAACTCGCCGGGGGTGGAGTCGGCGGCGGCGGGAACGCGGATTTGTTGCTCCAGGATCTCGTTACCGGATCGACGACCGGCGGTCTATCGGTCCAGCATCATCAGCACGCGTCCGCGGCCTCGGCCATGGCCGGCCTACACGGCGATCATTTCCAAGGGACGATGCACCATACCGATCTCCATGGGAACTCGCATCACGACACCACCATGGTGCACAATTCTATTCATCAGTTGCACGAACCGTTGGAAAAACTGAAACGTGGTGAGTCGGTCACAATACCAAAGGACCCACGCGGCTTCCTTTTTTTTTCGTTTCGATTTAAGCCGCGCCGCGATACATATTTTCTTCGGGGGATCGATGATCCTTTGATGGGCGATGATCCTTTCGATCGATGATCAATCGCGCGCGACGATTTTAGAGATTTTCGGCGGGCTTCTTTTTTTGAACGTTTCGGCCATCTTTCGACGACTCGAAACGGTCGCCGTGACGTTTCGTCAACGGGACATGATGTACGGTGAATTTTTCTCCGTAATTGACGCTTGGAAGCGAAAATTTCGGGAAACGAGTTTGGGACAATTGCGGCATGATTTGGGAGGAGATGTGATTGTTAGAGATGCTTGTAGCTCGTTTTTTATGGTTGTCGATTGTCGACGACTATTAAAAAGGAGTCGCGAGGCTCGAATAATCGCGTCTTCTTTTCTCAAATTATATAATTTATATATAATATATGTATATATAATTTATATATAATAATATTATATAATAATTATATAATACTTTTTTTGTGCGCGATCCGAGCATCAATTGGGGAGAATTTTACTGTATTTTTCAGAGTCCGTCGAATTGAGGTTACTTCGAGGTTAACCCTTTGCACTCGGAGCTAAATCGACGGAAAATCTGATATAATTCTTCTAATCCGCTTTATTTCCATTTTATATAATGAATATAATTTAAATACGTATGAAATTGAATTGTGTGATTGTTGCAACAACAGTTTCCTTTCAATAGTTCTTCCAAATATGAAGAAATTCGATTGATATAATTATTGCGAAACGCGACAATTTTTAGTGGCGCCTTGGAGACGGCATTCGAGTGGAAAGGGTTAAGAAATGCCGTCCCGTCATCCCCTAAATTGCGATCCAGTTGATCGAGGGAGATAAATTATATAGATATAGAAAATAGATAAATTATATAGATATAGAGAAAAAGATTATTATATATAGAATATAGAAAAGATTATTATATAGATATAGAAAAACGTGAGATAAATTATAGATTATAAAGTACTATAATTATAGTAAATTCGTGTCAGAGGACAGCTATAATTTAGACTCCGTTGTTTCGGCGCATTCTGTGCGACGCGAAGCGACGACATCCGTGATTTTTAACCCTTTGTACTCGAGTTGGCGAGTCCGTGACGCCACTTAAAAATAGTTACACTACTTTTAAATAATAAATTGTTATATATTGTTGTCATATTTTTAAAAAGAAAAGAAACTGTTGAAGCTGCAAGCATTATGCACTTCCCTGTGCATAAAAGTGCATTGGAATCGTATAAAATGGAAACATTGTAGATCGGAAAATATCTTCTGCATTTCGAATTAGAATTGCTCCGACTGCAAAGGGTTAACACGTTGTTTAACCCCTGATTAAACTTCTTATGTTATCCCATGAGATTCGGCAGGGAAGAGCAGGGAGAATCACGGAATAAATTCTACCGAGAATTTGTTTAGAATGCTTGCAAAGTCAAATGACGATGTACATAATTTTTTACTTCCCGTTTCATTCGAATTGAACGCCGCGTTCGCGAACAATTCAGTGTCCAAGTCGCAAAATTATTATTATTTTATTAAATTTCAAATTTTTATCGCTGATAATTTCCATTTAAAAATTCGCAAATCACCGAAACTAAAACAGCAACGTTTACACCGAAGCATTTAACCCTTTTTGCAGTCGGAGACAATTTGAACTCGAGATTTGAAATAGTTCTTCCGACGTATAGTATATTATTTCCATTTTATGCAACTTGATGCATTTTATATTTACATAAAATTGAATTTTGTGACATAATAATAGATATAATAATATTGCATTCGAGTTGCGACTCTAAGGCGCCGAATATTATTATAATAATATAATAATAAATACAATAATATTCGGCGCCTCAGAGTCGCCTCTCGATCGCAAAGGGTTAAAAAATCCAAACAGCGAAAACTCCGCGCATCTGCGCAATCTCTAGATCACGCCTCGATCACGATCTAAATCTCTCTATTAATTATCTCAATCTATTATTATATTATTATATCTATTATTATATATATATATATATATATATATATATATATATATATTTATATTATATCAATTGTCACGTTTCGAAGTGATTCGAACATTGCGAAATTTCTTCGTATTAAATAAAAACGGTGGAACGTGTCGCCGTTGCAAAATTCGCGTCACCAAAATTCACTTTAATGTGCATCAAATTAATTACTATTAATTACTATTGTCCGATCGATCGGGACAGAAGAAACGCGCGAGCAAGTTCGCGGGGAATTGTTTATATTATAACGAGGCTTTACAGGTGTCACAAGCGTAATTGCTTTTATCCGCGTGTCGATTCGAAAGGCAGATACGCGCGCGATTCGCGTCGCTTTCTCCTCATCGCTCGTCTATCGCGATACATAATCGCGCTTGTACGAGGCTTGTCGATTCGTGTGATTTCATTATTTGCGACATTATCGAACGTCGTCGATTCGGCCGACACAAAAAATACTCGCGCGCGAATTCCATCGCTGAAATCATGCGACGCGTCGTTTCCTCGTTATCGCGCGCGTCATTTCAGAAAATCTTTTGCCGTCCGACGCGACGAATTTTTGCATATAACGCGAACCTAATCGCGGGTACAGTGATGTCTCTCTAATTGACGCCCAGATTGACCGGTAAAACGGACAATTTAGGAAGAGGAGATACGATTATTCGAGCTTTGCGGCTCATTTTTATAATCGTGGGCAATTTATAACTATGAAAATAAATATAACTATAATAAATAAATTATATTCATGGCTATATTATTGCTATATTAATAGCTATATTATAGTTATATTAATAACTATATTATAGCTATATTATAGATATATTAATAACTATATTATAGCTATATTAGAAGCTATATTATAGCTATATTAATATAGCAATATTAATAGCTATATTAGTAGCTATAGTATAGATATATTAATATAGCTATATTAATAACTATATTATAGCTATATTATAGATATATTAATATAGCTATAATATAGCGATTGTCAATAACTATAAAAACGAGCCGCAAGTCTCGAATAATCGTATCTCCTCTTCCCAAATTGTCAATTTTAGTGGACAATCTGAGCGTCAGTAAGGAAGACATTACTGCATGCTCCGTTTTCTTTCACGGTGCACGATTTTTCGGTCTGCAATTCTTCGCGCGCTCATGGAAAATCGAGATTTGAGTGATCTCGCGAACTTTTGAACGCAAGTGCTATAACTATTATAGAGGCAATTTTAATTTAAGAATTATCGCGATAATTTTTAGTAAATCGCCATAATTTTTGTGATAATTCTCGCGATAATTCGGGTGGTTGAACTTCTTTGTTCCGGTTTTCCGGCGGAGGAATAAAATGGAAAAACGCCCGGCGTTCCTTCGAATCAAATTTAATCGCGTGGGAAGCATGCGCGATAAATAAATAAATTTCATGTTATTGTGTACTATAATGAACGTTCTATGCAATCCGATTTTCCGGCGGAAGAATCGCCTGAAATGGAAAAACGCCCGGCGTTCCCTCGAATCAAATTTAATCGCGTGGGAAGCATGCGCGATAAATAAATAAATTTTATGTTATTGCAAACTATAATGACCGTTCTATGGAATCCGATTTTCCGGTGGAAGAATCGCCTAAAATGGAAAAACGCCCGGCGTTCCTTCAAGTCAAATTTAATCGCGTGGAAAGTATTTGCAATGAATAAATAAAATTTGTTATTAGAAACTATGTGCTTCGTCGTGTGAAATAAAAATACCATAATTTGAGAAAAATGATCTTAGATTTACAGTTAAAATTCGAGTGCAAAGGGTTGATAATATTGATTAATAATACGATACATTCATTGTACGACGAATAGCAGGACGTCCGAATATTAATAAGAGAGTCGCCGCGCGACGATTTCGTTGCAGTATCGTTGAACATTTTCGTTTCATTTTCGTCCGATAAAGCAACATTGTGCGTCGGTGTCGGTTCTTGTCAGGTGCCAGCCGAGAGCACAGATAAAACATTAGTACGAATAGCGTTGATAAGCACCGCGCCCATCGTGTTATTCCAGCGCCGATACGACGCGTGACGAACGAAAATTTTCGGACGCGTTTACGTTTACGTTTCAAATCGCGAAATTTCGTCCACGTCGAAAAACAAGAGACTGCGAGACTGTTCGACGAATCGCGTCGGATGCGCCTAATCGAGCTATGGCAATTTTGCCGAAAATATCGTAATTAGGCTCGTCGAAATATCGCGATTAGGCTCGGCGAAATAGCGTGATCAGGTTCGTCGATTTGACGAGCGTTCTTCGTCGGTATCGTTTCGCCGGCGCGAGCCCAGCGAAAACTTGAAGATGCTACGAGAAGATACACAGCTCTTTCGGCGACTTATCTGCTGATTTGTTCTTGAGTCGGGTGTTTTAATCGAATCGAACGGATCTCGAGACACGGCTTGATTAGTGCACGTGGTTAGAAGGAATGCTTAGATTGTGGGACGAATTTATGCGGAATTATTCGAAGCGAATTTTCGAAATTTCAGAGAATGATTCAGAGATCATTGCAAACCTTTTTCTTCTTTTTATTCTTTCTCTTCTCTCTTTTTTAGGAAGTTGACGTTGAAATTTATCGGCTCGATGATAAAACGATCGTTTAACGAAAAATTTATTTTATCTGTCGCAATTTTTGTGTTTTTATTTATTTATTTATTATTTAATTTATTTTTGATTTCGTATCTCGAGCTAGAAATAATTTCGCTATCTTGCCGCGGCGTATTCAAACATTTCCAAAGATATCAAGCTGAACTAGTCGTGAATCTCTTTTTTTTTTACCAAACAATTGTGAACTATAAAACATATGGTACCTACGATAAAGTAGTATCGTTCAGAAATTATGTTAACGATATGGAATATTATTTTATTCTTGCAATGTTCAGGCGATTATTAAATGAATATTTTGGAATTTTTAGATTAAAGTGATC